TAGAGTTGTTAAATTCATAACAGGCAATCGGTGCCATCTCAGCTGATGCAGGACACTGCTCCAGGGTTTGGGGAATTATGGATGGCTCATCATCTCATCTCTTTAAAGCATTCCTGTAAGGGAATGTTCCTTAAAGGAGCCTGATCTACATTTGGGATTTAACAGCAAGACTCATTTCACTTATGGTAGATTTTTTTTTTTTAAGCCTACTCTTCAAGTCAGGATAACTTCCTTTACAATTTAAACACAATGGGTCACACCTGCTGAGGGCCTTGCTCCATTTACAGTTAAACATCAGGGAAGGTTTGGAAAATGGGAAGTGCCAGCTACCTACATCCACCTCTGCCAGTATCCTCCTCCTCCAGTTTGTCTGGGAGGAGGCACAAGAAACTAAGAATCACACACATATATGACAAGCAGCATAATACACTACTCTCCAAAGAGGCTCATATCAATTCCAAAATGCTTACTACTGACTGTTAATTACAGAAGTCCTGATCGAGATACCAAGACACAAGTTCAAGTCTGTTATGCTACTGCATTTAATGATAACACTGCTTATTTAGAATTTGTCTTGCCACTCTCTCTTTTCTATAGTGCAGAGAATAAAAAAGTCTATTATTCAGTTTGACCTAATAAATACCAGCAATAAAGTAGTAAACTAATCCCTTTTACAGGAAAGTATTTAATTCTATTTAAATATATCTAATACCAGCAATAAAGTAGTAAACTAATGTAAACTAATATTTATGTATGGATATATATATTTAATACCTATAGCATGAACATATGGATTGAAAGGCGATTGAAAGATCGCTGGTTTATAAACTCCTGCTTACAGATTCTCACACTCTATGTCAAACAGATTCATTGCATGCACTCTGCATTAAAAGACACCCACACAGATGATAATCTCCGTAATAAACATAAGAAACATTACTCTCCATATAAAATTGTTAGTATCATCTATTCTGAGGATCTTCTCAAGTGCATCGTTTACAAGTCTGACACCATGTTATTTCCTGCCCTTCCCCAGTCCTCTCTTCCCTTCCTCCATTTGGAGCAATTCTCTTACCGTACTCCCAATTAATTATTTCACACATGGAACATTTTTCTTTTACTTCCAAGTCCCTTCCAGATGATTTTACTGCTACCAGTAGACTAAAAAGCACTTTTGTTGCTCCCTTAGCACTGCTATTAGATTAGATCCATTAGCACACTCACAGGTACACACATTATATTTTTGAGCTCTTTCTGTTCATAAGGTATGACTATTAATACGTTATTTTCACTTGTTGCTTATACAGATTCTGTAGGCTTTTAAAAATCATTCTTTAGATTTTCTTTCCTTGTTTAAATCTTTTAGAGTTTTACTATTATGTTATTTCATGGCAGGTGCTATTCTACTGACCCTGCTGCCTCACCCATCTTTGCTCATGTTCAATATTCCCTCAACAGCTTCACTGATTTTTTTAAAGCACAAAATGGTCGTTGCCGCACACTTCATTTCTCGCTTCTGCGGTTGTGATCTTGTGCTCTGCTACTAAAAATAGAACTGCTTCCAACTACCTGAGCTGGAAAGCTAATTAAAGAGCCAGTAAATAACACTCCTCCCTATTGAGCACATAGCACGATGAGAAGTCTGTGCTAATGCACTAGGGCTCACATGGTCCTGGGGATCTTTGAAATCCATCAAGTGCCATTTATTTAATCATTTGTGGTTGTTTGCTTCACAGATAAATTACCATTTAAGCAAATAAACTATTTGACTGTTGGATCAACAAATCAGAGGGGAAAAAAAAGAACAAAGATCCCATTGTAGGTTTTTTTTTAAAAAAAAAAGCCTAATTCTCAGCTTGCACAGATCAGCACAAATTTGCTGAAATAAATAGAATATTGTTGATTCAGACCCAGGTAGAAGTCTGGTTCTCTTATTTCATGAAGAGGGATTATCAGAGGAATGCTTCTTTCCAGAATAAATAAAGCTGGTTCTGTCACATACAGGCAAGAATAAGCACCTGTCACTGACAGAAAGGACTCCTCTCCATTTAAAGTGCTCCTGGCTATATTTACAGCACAGCAGCACGTTGCCAGAAGATACTCCCCAGTAGAAGTTCTTAGGATAGTCGTGTCCAGGGAGTTTAGATGCTGTTTTTTTTAACTTGCCAATGAAACACCTTCCCTGTTTCTTGGGACTGTTTTTTACCATATAGCTCAATACAGGCTTTGTTAGCAACAAGACTTAGACCATCACTCAATCCATAAAATTCATCTCATTTCGGCTGTTACTGAGGCAACAACTTATGGATAATACATAAGCACCTGTTAGATATACAGCTGCAGCTCCAAAGCAGATCTGTAAAATACCCACTATGCTTGCTTCTCCCAGAACACTTTTGGGGACCAAAAGGAAATACAATATTTTAGAACTATTTTTTTCCTCTCTATATTTCTGAATGCAGAAAATAGAAATTAAAAAAAATGTGCAGAAGAGTACAGCAAAAGACCAATTCCTCCTGGACTTCCAAAAAAAGACTCTGACATTCTACTAATTGCATTAGAGAGTAGCTTGCTGTAGAAAAGAGTATGCTAGCGAGCATAAGCTTGTCATCATGTTCCTGTTGTATAACAGGAACTGCTGTATACTATATTCATATATGCAGGGACAGAATTGCTAGCTCTGCTTAAATATACTACTTACAAAGCTTGTTTGGCAGAGGAGAATATGAGCTCCCCCTTTGTCTTCCATCTTTATTCAACTGAGAGCCAGGTTGTCAGCCAAGCAAGCTAACCTCCTATTAGAAGAGTGATTTGTCAAGCTTAAGAAGAAATAATGGAAAGCAAGATAAAATGGAAAACTATGGACAGATGTGTGGTAAACAATACTAGCCTTCTCATCTCAAAAAAAAAAAATGAGAATAAATCTTCATACTACGAGTGACACATAAGTCAACTCTGAACAAGTCTGCTTATGCACAAGGATTTGCACAACTGTCATTTTAGTACAATGCTTCACAAGAACCAAAAAGTATGTATTAGCATAACTGAGCATCTCAACAGTCATATAGAATAGACTTTTCTGCATTTATAACCTAGACATGTATATGTGTGCACATATGCACACGTGCATGTGCATGCTGTGGGAAGAAGCATGGTGATGAAAGGACTTGTATGCTTGATGGAGTCCCGCTTACAAGCAACATTAAAAGTTATATAACTTGCTGCTTTTGAATCAGAGGGGGCAGTTCTGGGCTCCCCAGTACAAGAGGGACATGGAGCTTCTGGAGAGGGTCCAGCGCAGGGCCACGAAGATGATTAAGGGACTGGAGCATCTATCGTATGAGGAAAGACTGAGCAAGCTGGGCCTGTTTAGTCTGAGAGGACTAAAAGGCTGAGAGGAGATTTGATCAACAGGTTCAAGTACCTTAGGGGAGAAAGTAGGGAGGATGGGGCCAGGATCTTTGTGGTGGCCAGTGACAGGACAGGGGGTAATGGGTACAAGTTTAAACACAGTAAGTTCCACCTCCATGTGAGGAAGAACTTCTTTCCTGTGAGGGTGACAGAGCCCTGGAACAGGCTGCCCAAAGAGGTTGTGGAGTCTCCTTCTCTGGAGACCTTCCAAACCCGCCTGGATGTCACCCTGTGCCATGTGCTCTGAGTGTCCCCGCTGCAGCCGGAGGTTAGACTAGATGATCTCTAGGGGCCCCTTCCAACCTCAACCATTCTGTGATTCTGCATTTTCAGTCCTTTCTTTTTTGACTCCTTTTGACTTTTTTTTTTTTAAAGGATTACAAAGATAGTAAACAATATATTCATAAAGCAAAAAAAAAATCATAAACCAAAAAAAGTGATGATAATAGCAGGGCAAATGCTTTCAAATGTTTGGGCAAATGATACTGTAGTTAAGAAAATCATAGAATCATAATCATAGAATCCATAAAAAAGCATATAATTACAATTTTTTGCCTACAATTTCCTATTGCTCCATACATTTCTAATCATCTAATGACACTGATTTGATCACTTTCAACCCAGGGAGCCACTTCTGATTTATTCATTCAGATACCAAACACCCAAGTGTTTCTCAAGTACTGGCTAAACCGAGTTACACATTCAGATTGTTTACAAGTATTTCCAGGTCTGCTTTGTTGAGGTGAAACTTGCCAATTTGATACGGTATGTAAGATGCTCTTAAGCTTGTACAAGGTTTCCAATCCCCTGGCACTTAATAAAAAACTTCGATGGGGTGGCAGGGGTGGGAAGAGAAGGTAAAAAGTTAAAATTCAAGAAAACTGTTGAAAATAACTTGTTTACTTCTTTTAATCATGAGTTGACCCCACTAGATCTCTCTTGGGCAATCATGGGAAAGGTACTTCCAAACACACATGCTTTAAGGAACAAAAGATCTTTGTAAACTTTGTGTAGCTATTCTACACTACACAGGTATCACTCAAACTTCAGCCTTTCTAATGAGTAACTCAACATGTACAAAGACTTCAGAGACATAATGAGATTAGTGTAATAAGCTCAGAGATGTATTAAACAGTAGATGAGAGGAGGAAAACTAATTGACACATTTCTTCATTCAATAAATGCCTGAATCAGAGATATTGATTAAAGGAGGAAGAGTACATATTAATGCACAATATTGAAAGTTATTGAAGAAAAATTTATCCCAGGGCAGACTGGAAAGTATAATGGTTTGCTGTATTGTAGTAGCACTATTTTCAGAAAATTCCATAAACATAATTAGCTATTTGTTTTTGCCTCAAAAACCCAACAACCAGATGAATAGACTCTTTTAATACATAAAAATAAATAATCAGTCATTGGAAGTATTTCCTGGCCATGACCAAGTTTCACACAAATATTTATCTTTAAAAGTCCCCAGATGAAGCATACAAACTTACAAACTTTTCACAGTAATTTGATGGCCAAAATACAGACTGGCCTCTGCAGTACAGGAAACCTGCTGGTATGAACAAATTACATGGCCTTACCTCAGCTATATGCGGCATGGGGTTAAATCCACAGAGATTGCACACTACTTTCTTGCATTCTGTACACGTGTTGAAGTTGGGAGGATCCTTAGAACCAATATTGAGTCCAGTTTTACAAAGGGGACAAGACATTTGGGCTTGGCTGGCCTTTTCCTGCTCCAACAGCCCAGGAGGTTTTTTAGCATCAGCAACCTGCGTCTTGCTATCTTTAGCCAAACTAGGTTTCTTTTCTAAATCAGATCCCTTGGTGGTTAAAATGCTACCCACTTTTGTTGGCTCTGATTTTTCTGCCATTAGAGGTTTCGCTTCTTTCTTTACAGGAAGAGATTTTGGAGGAGGCTGAGCCTGACCAGCCTCTTTTGGAGGTGCCTGCGAGGCAGGTGGCTGTGATGGGGGCTGTGGCTGTTTCACAGCAGGACTGGGTGGAGGAGGACCTGATGTCTGAGTTCCAGGCTGACCTGCTGTGGAAATCAAATTTGAGGCCTGGCTAAAGATTGAAGCTCCAAATCCAAAAAGTTTCCCAGTGACTGTTTCTTGGGGTGTTGTAGGCTGAGGCTTAGGGGTATCCGTGATACCTCCTAGATTAAGGCTGAAACGCCTTGGCTGCTCTGGGGGTTTCAGAGGTTGCTGGGGTTGAGGCGTTATCTGTGCTGGTACAGGCTTGGGGCCTGCCCCTGCTTGTGGTCCTTTTGGACCTGGTTTGGTCTCAGGCTTTGGAGCTGGTTTTGTTTGTAACTTCTTAGGATCCTCTTTCGTTTGTGTTGGCTCAACAGGCCTTTGAGTTTTAGCATCTGGTCTAGGCCCAGGCTGAGAAGCAAGCTTGGGATCTGATTTTTGCCGAGACACTTGCGGTAGCGGTTTGGAATCTGGTTTGTCCCCACGCGGATGAGCATCTTGCGATGGCTTCGCAAGCTCTGGTTTGGGGGAGTCTGTCACCTTCTGTGGAGTTGATGGGGGTCTGGAAACTGCTGAGCCCTGTTTCAGCCCTGGTGCTGCAGAGGTAGGCACAGTATCAGTCGTAGGCTTCTCTACACTGGGTTGTTTTTGCTTATCTTCAACCTGGGTTGGCTTACCCTGATCAGGCTTTGGAGCAGGGTCCTTTTCTTGGGAGGTCTCAGTAGGTTCAGCACGCTGTTGCTTTGATTTTACAGGAGGAGACCCAGGCATGGATGGTTGCTTCTTCTGTGGTAGGGGCTTTTTAGATTCTGCTAGCTGAGAAGGATCAGATTTTGTAGAAACATCTTTCTTTTGAACTGCCTGTGCCTGAAGTGACGATTTAACTGTTGAAGGAGGAATGGGTGTCTTTTGTTTGGGTGGTAGTGGCTGTGGTCCAGGCCCATGAGCTAGGTCACCACCTAATGCTCTTTGCATCTGGCAATTTAAACAGAGCCATTCTTTAATCTGCAAGAAAAAATAAATAAATTAAAGGTAATTAAGACAGTTTAATACAATCAGTATAACATTAGTACAACTATACTGTAATATACCGCTTGTTGCATTATTGCGGATCTTGGCATAAAAAAAAAAAAAAAAAAGAATTATTTCCACTAATACTGCTTTGCTGTTAACAGTCACAACTGACTTTTTTCATTCTTTCCCACATTTTTGTGATTCAAGCTATCAATGAGCCCTTGCTTCCAGTGATTTCACACCAGGCTGAATTCAGTTTACACACAACAGAACAATGGAGGATAAAACCCCAGCAGAATGAAAAATTGCTTTGGAATTCCATGGGGCCTAGCAATGATTCCTTTACAGCAATAATTTGTCAAAATGGGGGTAGGAAGGGCACAAAAGTGACTAATGTAGTTTAACAAATCAACTTTGCTGACTGAAAATGATCATTATAATCATAATCATTCGTTATAATCATTAGAACAAAAGTAAATACATAATTACCTTTAAGTGTACAACTATTGAGTTCTTCATATACCTTATGATTTTGGTAATGTTTTACATTATAGGACACAGCAGTCGCATTGGTAGTATATATGTACTCAGTACATTAGGAACAGAGGTTTATTAATGAGCTCCATGTACTTCCATAGACTCATACCTTACCACCAATCTCTGAGTGAAGAATTCATTTGGAAACAGTGAAGAGCTTTGCCTAAACACTGGTTTTTAGAAAGCAACAATTGGTTTTCCCAAAATTTCCCCAAAATAAGTTCCCAGGGTAGTTCCTATAGGTCTATATGCCATAGGCATATACCATAGCCCACTTTCTAATATAGGGGAGAAAGAATAAAGTAAATAATTTATTTACTTATGTTCCTTGCCAGTTCTACCAGTTCATAACTTTGATACTTTTTTTGTACTGCCCATACAGTGTTGAGGTAAACAATTCTTTCTACTAAGCAAACAAACAAAAAAACCTAAGTGGTAATCCTTGCCATTGTCATACTTATTCTAATAGTCATAGTAATTTAAAGCCCATTTTCCAGAGGATATGCTAACAGCTTCACAAAAAGATGCATGATTCTTAGAGTAACCAAGTTACCACTAATAAAAATGCTACCGTCTTTTGTTTTTCATTTTTAGTGCAAAGTTTTTTGTTGTTGTTTTTCACATTGTATAAATAATTCTCTGACCTGCTTGCAACCCATATAGCAAATAGCTGTTAAAAAGTGAAACCAACTGAAACAAGATTGGCACACTTGTTTCAGCTCTGCTATGAATCACTAAAGGGATTAAGTTTACAACTGCACAGGGGACCTGAGCAAAGATTACATTTAGCTTAACTTACATTTTGGCTGATTGGTGATCAGCTCGCACAAGAGTCCCCTGTCCAAGGGCCAATTTCAGCTCTAATAAATCTAATTTACAACAGCTGACTTTCAGTGTTAGTAATCAAATTTCATTATATAAATGGCTATCATTTCTGGATGACAGCCTCATGGTTTTCTGTCAGTTTTGAAGTTTAATCAACAAACAGATTCTGGCCACATACTTTGAATATCCATGTCATCTAACACAGATGGCTGGTTTTGGCAAAGTGGCATCCAATTTCTTATATTATGGAGGGGGACTCTCCTCATCATCTATGGTGAAAGGCAGAATTCTGTGGAGAACTTTTTAAACAGACTTAAGCAAGGAATGCTTATGCCACAGATTTTTTTTTTTTTTTTTTTAACAGAGATTTGGACAATGTACCTTTTCATAGTGATTCACTCCTGTATTTTAAGCAAGGAATCGGCCTAATGGGATGAGAGGCTCAAAGGTGCTTTTTGTTCTTCTGCTTATTTTTGCCACCTCTGCAGCTTTTTTTCTTTTCTTTTCTGCCCCTCCTCCCCTCCTCCCCCCAATGAAGGTGGTGCACTTCAAAGTTAAGTAACCAATCCTGCCAGCGGGCATCAAGCATCTAACTAGAATCTTAAAGAAAAAAAGTTATTTCTATACTACTGATTTCAACACAAACTTGTGTAGAAGACAACCTTAACTCTATCATCTGCTATTTCCCCCCCACTTATAATACATATATGGATTTTCCCCTCCTCTGCTATTAAGATGAATCCTTTAAAAATAAAAGTGAATTTGCAACTTCTAGAGCTGAGCATCAGAATGGGAAATTTAGAAAGTTTTACTTTACTGTATTAGTCTTTTAAGTTCTTTCATTTTAGACATAAAATTCCTCCTGTGCATTGCAGCAGGAGGCACTAAGTGCCACAACACGAAAGCGATTACAACTTATACATACTATCTTCAAACCAATACAAAACTGTACAAACTGCAGTTCTTTGATTAGAACTGCAGGAGTTCAAAATTAAGTACATTACAAGAAAAATGTGTCTTGTAACAAACACTGACCTGTTTTTATTTCTACTATAATTAGAGAGGTGTTCCATGAACTTGAATAGGAGTAGACTTCTGATAAATACAGACTGAACTTTCATGTTATTATGGATGATGTGGCTATAGACACATAACAAGAATCTTATTGGACAACAGCTCTCCAATTTCAATCCTAAATTTCCCTCTCCACATTTTATCTCTACTAGAATTAAAAGACATAGCATAAACACATGAGACTCCTGTGTTTCCCATCTACTGTAATGGAGATTCTTCATCGTTGTTGAGGATCCTAAGCCGTGATTTTTGGTAGATTAGGGGGCAAAAAGGGAGGAGGAAGGAAAGATGGAGAAAAAGGTACTTTAATAAACATCCTTAACTCTAATCCTTGACTGGGCTTTTGACCCTCTAAGAGACTGAGGAATGATTGCTCTTGATACAACCTAAAATGCATTAGAGGCATAGCTGAAGAAGACTGTATTTTCCACTTATTTTCAACTACTCAGAACTGACTTCCAATTAATGTGCTTTCAAACTACTAATATTCTTCCTAATTATAAAAATTATTTTTTGCAGTTATTGAGGAAGAAATATTTGATATACTCCCTCACCCTGAACCGCAGGGCAACATGAACAGGCTTATAACAGACATATTTGACAGATTTCACACTACAAACAAAGCCTTTTATGCTAGAAACTTACTACCATTTTTGTTCAGATTTCAACCACTGAATATAGAAAATACTACTGTCTTCTAACTCACTGATGTATATTTGCCCTCCTCAAAACAATTAAAATATATTTTATGTACTAATCAGCCACAATATTGAAAACAATAATACTAATAATGAAAGTTTCAGAGACTCTGCTAGATGGGAACACCAAATGAATTTACTCAAGATGTTTTACTAGTAATATCCATATATAATTAAAATGAAGAAAATCGGAGCACCATGTTCTATAGCTCGTTTTGCTTTTTGAAGTCCATATCTAACAGTTGAATCCAATAATAAATAAGGGTTATGCATCATTTCTCATTCCAAATACAGCCAACACAGTTAAAGGTGATACGGAATCTACTTCAAATCTTTCATGAATTTGTTCACATTTTTCTAACTATGCAAAGTGACCTAAAGCACCAGGAAATCTGTCAAAGAGCAAGTGCATTGATGGACATGCTGAATTTCTCTTCTTGCAAATGATGTAGAGAAGGAAGAGAATCCATCTTGATTCTAAGATTCCAGATGTGCAGTGATAAAGAAATTTTGATTTGCAAATTGAACATATTTCATTTACAAATTGCTGGCACACAACAAAAATGAGCTCTCGAAAGCCATTTTAACGGTTCCCTTTCAGAACAGAGCTATATTTTAAGATAATGGGCCTCATTCTCATTTAGACTCATCATTTGGTACTATAAAAAGGAGCGTTAAGATATGAATAAAACGTAAAGATCATTACATTGGCACAGAAATGTAAAGAGCCGTTGCTGACATTACTTAGCTCTGCCCCAAAGTTTGATCAAGGAAATCGGTCTGTAGTTTGTGAACATATTAGCTTATTTGGTTCCTGGCAACTTCAGAGAGAAGAAAAGTCAGCAAACCAGGTTCAAGTCTTTTAGCACACATTTCTGCCAAAATGCTTTGAGGACCACAAAAAATAAAGCACTTGGAGCTGCATGAAACCACGGGCTCAAGCAGGATGGCATAATACTGCAAGGGAGAAGAAAAATGATCATGAATCACGTTAGGAACAAGATGTACAACTGAAAAGGTCTTCTAAAGAATCTTGTGTGACACCAGAAACAAAGTTTTCCTTCAGCATTATCATTTTGCAAATAAAAATCTCAACTTTTCAAACTTACTACACACAAACTTGTTACAACATGAAATCTTTCTTTTTCAAATAAGGATGAATTAACACTACAGAACAAATTTCTATTCTCATTGGAACATCAGATATGAAAAGAGAACTAGTGAGTTCATCAGGAAACACTGCCTGGAGATGCTCACAAGAACGATGCTACATTCCAGGCAGCAACATGTTCTCCATGTATCACTTCCAAAGGCTGCATCAATGGAAACAGACACTGTATCACAGTGCTACAACACTGTCAGAGCAAAATTGAAGTAAACAGTTTTAAAATACTATTTTAAATGTTGCTCATACCTTGAAGGTATTTTAAAACTGCTAAAATACATTCCTATGTGAACTGCATCACAGTTTTCACAATCTTTCACTGCATTGTTTAAATTACTAATACAAAAAAGCGATAGCCTGCATATGAGCTATGAGAGTTTGGGGAACTATTACTTTATATGTTACATAATTTGAATCATAAAAAATGAACATAATCTTATGAATCTGGCATTACAAAAAAATGAATCGTCACAAAACTTCTAAAAGTGAGATTTTAAAGCTAAACATACAGTTAATCTGTATGTTAACAATTAGTACTATAGTTAATACTACAAGGGAGAAAAACAAACAAACACACCTCAGTGCACTGTATTACACATCACTGCAGTAAATGCTGTTTCATTACCTGCACCTAGGTTTAATATACCAGAAATACATGAACACTTAACAAAACACACAATTGGGAAGCAAGA